TCTCCTTCCCAGAAATCTTAGCTTGAAAGATATTTTGAAAGATATTTCTTTGAAGGTAATTTCATCACAAATCCACGCCAAAGAGAGTCTTGAATCCTGAAATTAATTGAATCAAAGGCACACTTTAGAAAACAGCTATGCTTTTCCCCCCCTCACTGGCAGGAAGTCCATTGGCAATAAACTATCTGGCTGGGGAATCAGGATACATCCAAAATGAAATGATTTCATTTTTTTAGAAGAATGTATAGAAAGTATCTTTAACAAATTGAACTGATCTTTTTTAAATGTGGTTTTTAATATTTCATTTGTGGTTGAAAAAAAAGAAAGAAAAGAAAATGAATACAGGGTCCAATTGGCATATTTGTCAATTAATTTTAGTGCCCTGAATATGAGAGGTAAATAGGGACACATGTTTAAGGCAGAATTTAGCTTATGCTTCTTGACCGTAAATTCTTTCAATTTCAACATCTGTATTGTAATAAATTAACTCTCACTGCATTGCTCCTTGAAACCTTTTAACTTTGCCTTTTACTAATTCAGTGATTGGGAGTTCCATTTCTTGCATCTGACACAAAACCATAAAGTTGCTAAGGGGCCATTTAAGCCACTGAGCCCTATCCTTGTTCAGTGCAAGAATTCAGCTTCAAACTTGCCTGTGACAGATGGCTTTTTAACCTCTAAAAGAAAACATACACTGAAAGGGAGACTCCTCCTCCTCTGAATAATTGATTCCACAGTCAAACTGTGTTGCTAGGAAATTTCCCCCTGCCCTCCACATTCAATGGAGTTTGCCTTCCTGTAACTTAAATCCACTGTAACAGGCCCTGCACTCTGGAATGTTAGAGATTAGGTCTTGACCTTGTTCTATGTGACATCTTTTCAGGTATCAGAGGCAAGGCAAGGCTATCAGATACCTCCCTCAATCTTTCCCTCTCAAGGTTAAACATTCCCAGTTTTTAAAAACTGCCTTCATAGAATGTACATACTTTCCAGTCCCTTGATTTTCCCCATTGCTTTTCTGAATATATTCCACTTTGTCTGAATTGTTCTTAAAATGTGGTATCTGGACTTGGATATGGTACTCAAGGATCTGATCAATGCAAAGTAAAATGAATAACTGCTTTCTGTGATTTGTAAAGTATATGTTCAATAGAAGAATTGAATTGTTTGGTTTTGGGTCTTGATTGTATTCTTGCAGACATTTCATTACCTTTTGATTAAATAATACAGTTTAATATTAAACTATTGATGACCAGTCTTTGATTATGACTTTCAGGACAGTTGTTTAGCACCTTTTGCCATCTAGCTAATATTTAACTAGTTTGCTAATCAAAATAGTATGAAGCATTTTGTAAAAAAACTTCGCGGAAATCAAGATATTAAATTACAGCATTGTAATGCTTTAAGATAGTTATCTAATTAAGAGATAAGATTAATTAAAACTTCACAAATTCATAGTGATGTCTGTTGCTTACAAACTGATCTCTTTATGAAATGCACTAGAATCTTCCCAGGTATCAGAGTCAGAATGATTGGTCTGTAGTTCCCTAAAAAAAAATCTTCTCTTTTTGATGATAAAAGAATGTTGCCTTCCTCCAGCTTTTCTATCCCATTCTCCTGGATTATCTTTTCTTATTTTATCCATTCTCCTGGATTTTTCAAACTACAGCAGGTACAACCAGTTTGTGTTCCAGTTGAATGAATGATCTAAAACTATGTAATAAACTTCTCACAGAAAACCAAGCAGGTGGCCAAGATGGAAGATCACCTAGGAAAGGCATTTACTGTGTTATTCTTATATGAAAATCAGGACATAATGTGAATGGTTGCTTCTGTACTGTGTCTTGGACAGTTGTGTCACAACTAATTTATTGTGTTGAAATCCCCTCCCCCCATTTTTGTGTGTTTAGGAATGGATGTTGCCTGTTGTTGGGTTTTGTTTTTTGATGTGCACCTCTTTTTACCTTGAAAAAGATATTTCGCAGTTATTTACAATGTCTAACTTGGCAGAATTTAAGTGAACCTTGCCTTATCTTGGAAGCTATGAAGAGTTCGTTTGGTTAATACTTGGATGGGGAACAACCTGAAATCCAAGTTTACTTCCTAGACTTAGGAAGTAAAAGAATCTCGGAACATAGCAAACACAAATAACTTGCTTTGCTGCCAAAATATAGTTTCTTGGAGCTAAACTCAATTCACCGGAGACTTTTCTTTGTCACCCCATGTCAATCAAGTTGTCATGCTGCTCATGAGACTTTCTCTAATTTTGAAATGGGCTAGAGAGCTGGAATATATAGCAAACTTTCCATTTACAGAAAGATACTTTGACTTTGGAAAGTTAGCTAAAGAGTTCTATACAAAAACAAAGCAGCCATGGGAGCAAATCATGAACTATGGAGAAGGCTCACATTTGTTTGAAGGCTAGGCCAGCTGATTTAGAAGTGGAAAGAACACCCCACTCAACCTGCTACGCCTCCTTGACTAATGCTACATGTTCTTTCTTGGAATGCCTTGTACTTGAGGCTGGTGTCTGATCACTGGTGTAGCATTCATTGTAGAAGTGAAGTATAAGGATCTCAAATGTATTGTCTTTTAGCACTTAATACAATTTTTACTGTAAGTATTTTATTTGGAAAAAATAACTAAGGACACATAGGACAATGAAGGTATGAATGGAGCATTCTCTTCCTTTGCTGGGAAATCCTTGTGGTACCCCATTAATGATCCAAGAGCTTTTGTCCTACTTTCCCACAAAAGTATTTTGTTAGTGTGTGCCATAAAGATTTTCACCTCTTCTGAGGGGAAAAGCAGTCCTAAGGCCAATTATGTAACAGCCTCTTTTTAGACGATTTGCTTTCCTGATTTTTAATCTGCTCAGCCGTCCTTTAAGTCTTATCTTTGCTACCGTCAGTGGTTAAACTGTTACGGATTAGCACCAGAGCTGTAATGTACCTGTTCAAGGATTCATTACGGTTTTTTTCTTGTCAAGAAAAGGGCAAAATCAATTTCATATTTCAGGCAGATATATTAAACAGCTTGTACCTGGAGCAGTTCGTTTTATCAACTATCTGCAAAGATAAAACTCTTCAATGCAAGAAGGCACCAAGGATAATTTAACCTTAAAACATTTGTGGTGATAAGTAAAATTTAATCTTACATGTAAGAATGATCAAACAAAGAGAGCATTTGATGATGGAGAGTAAGAGATGAGACTATTGCGAAAATAGCCATTTATTTATGAGTATATACATCTGTATTTGTGCTTAGAATTTATTCACACAATGAGTAGATGAAGAGGTTCAAATGCTCCTGAATAACTGTTGCAGGCAGAAAGTTGCAACCAAGTTCCACCTACACCTGTGCTTTCTAATGACAGAGGACTCTCTGACCACCTTGTCTGCAGCAAATGTGTTGAATTCCACTGATTTGAGAAAACTTTCTCTTATGGAAAGTATGTCTGAAGATAAGCCTTAAATGACTTATTCTAAGACGTGGCCCCAATGAGTTATACTGACTTCTTCCAGATTGTATAGCTTGAGAATGACAACAGAAAAAAAAAGCACTCCACAGGATTTTTCCGCATGACTTTGGCATGCTAGCACTCTATATAGGTAGTCCTTGACTTACGACCACAGCTGAGCCCCAAATTTATGTTGCTAAGTGAGAAATTTGTTAAGTGAGCTTTGCTTCATTTTATGACTTTTCTTGCCACAATTGTTAATTGAATCACTGCAGTTGTTAAATGAGTAACAGGGTTGTTAAGTGAATCTGGCTTCCCCATTGGCTTTGCTTGTCAGGACCTCAGGACACTACTCCCGTCATAAATATGAACCAGTTGTTAAGTGTCCATGACTGTAGGGATGGTGCAATGGTCATAGGTGTGAAAAATTATCATAAGTCACTTTTTTCAGTGCCGTTGTAACTTTGAATAGTCACTAAATGAACTGTTGTAAGTTGAGGATTACCTATACATTCTCTGCATTCACAGAGCTGTGACAAGACCAGAATATAGACTCTTGAACAAATCATAATGGCTTGGATATGCTCAGGTAATGTGTTAAATGAAAAATAGACAAACCATGGATGGACTGAGCCACAGTGTTGCTTCATTCTGAAAGGCTTTTCCATTCATTCCAGTGAAAGGACACAGATCTACAAATGCTAAATAGTGTGCTCACTGATATCCACCCAGTAAAGTAAATGAGGAAACTGATTGTACATATAAGCTGTGTGTGCAAATGCAGATGTAAAGTTACACTCTGTATCTAGGGAACGTCGCCATTCATTGGAATTACATGTAATACCTATTGTCTGGTAAATTGTACCTTTAAGCAATTTCAGCATATTTCTATAAAAAAAGACTCTATAGCAGGGGTGTCAAACTGCCGCCCCATGCCTTGGTAAGGTCACACTTGGAATACTGCATCCAGTTTTGGTCACCATGATGTAAAAAAGATGTTGAGACTCTAGAAAGAGTACAGAGAAGAACAACAAAGATGATTAGGGGACTGGAGGCTAAAACATTATGGTTGCTGGAATTGGGTATGTCTAGTTTAATGAAGAGAAGGACAAGGGAGGACATGGTAGCAGTGTTCCAATATCTCAGGGGCTGCCACAAAGAAGAGGGAGTCAAGCTATTTTCCAAGGCGCCTGAAGGCAGGACAAGAAGCAACGGATGGAAACTAATCAAGGAGAGAAGCAACCTAGAACTAAGGAGAAACTTCCTGACAGTTAGAACAATTAAGCAGTGGAAAAACCTGCCTCCAGAAGTGGTGAATGCTCCAACACTGGAAGTTTTTAAGAGGAGACTGGACAGCCATTTGTCTAAAATGGTATAGGGTTTCCTGCCTGAGCAGGGGGTTGGACTTGATGACCTCCAAGGTCCCTTCCAACTTTATTATTATTAATGGCAAAAAAGTCGTGATACGTTGCGACACATCACATGACATTGCAAGTTTAACCCCTGCTCTATAGAATCCATGCTTTATTCAAAGTTCCTATTTTTTACTAGTGAGGGACAAAGCCAACACCCTCATATACCACACTGGATTCAAAGATCAACAGGTACTTTGGAGTGCAGGGGCTGCCCGTGTTGCAGCCCCTTCAACAATTAACTGAAAGCAGTTTTGCCCTATCACAGGGTTGAGCTCCAAAGCAGAAGACAGTTGTCATTCCAAGAAAAATATGCATTCGGTTTAAGGAATTGCTGGCAAGAGTTTGGTACATGCCTTTCTGCATCCTGAAGCTCTTTTTGGGTATGAATAAAAAACATGTTTACTTCACATGATGTGGTTTTTAATAGCTTAAGTGAAAGCCACACTAGACTTGTTTCATATTTTTTTAAAAATATATATTTCTAAAGCAAATATTCAGGCATGAAAAAAAATCTTTATGGCTAACCCTCTTCGAGGGAGAAAAATGTCAAAAAGCAACACACACACACACACCTGTGACTTTTACTTTGTAAATTCCAAAATGCACCTATCAGTTATTAGTACATCATCTATATCTGACAACTAGGCAAGCATTGTTTCAGAACAACAGCACGTTGCCAAGGCTGATCTGGTTAGTGCTCCTGCCTAGCTATTTAAACAAAATATCAATCTGACTATATATGGAACTGCTCTGGAAGCAAAGAGCTGGGAAAGTTACATTCAGAGGGTGCGTAGCAGAAACACTCTCAAGCCTGTATTTAAAATAGGTTTTTAGTAGCAAAGGTCAAATAACCAGTGTGACCCACCATTTCCTTAAGTGGCACACCGCTCTTAAATTGTATAGTTTCCTGTGGAAGATTTGGACACAAGGCATCTTCATTTGATAGGTTGCCTCCATCAACCCCAGTGCTGGAATTACCATCTGCTGTTTTTCCAAGATCAGGGATTTGCAAGCTAATTGTTCGAACATTGTACACTCTGAGCAGGATCTCTGAAGTAGTGATTTCAGTAAAGCCGTGTTCCTCCAAAGCTAAGCAGGTCCTTTGAACTTGCTCGATGCAAGGGGAAAAGGAACATATGCGTCCACCTACAACAGAAAAAGGAAGATTGTGAATGAAAAAACAGCAATTTTAAGAATTTCATCTCAATCTGAGTTCCTATAATGCTATTTAAAGCACATTTCTGTGAATTATTTATTTCCAAAGGAGATTCATTAAAGCCAGTGGGATCATTCTTCTGAAGTAAATTATATAATGACTGTAGTTGCTGGTTTATATAAAAGGAGAAGGAACCTTGAATCTTATACATTGCAGATGGTTGCAGGGATAGTTATATGAAATCTACAATCTCATGCATGGAAAAACTTCCAACAGAATCAAGAATATACAGAATTTAAATATTTAGCTTGAACTGCAAGCCTACACCACTGGTCTGGTAACAGACTCCACAGAACTTAATGGCACTTGCTATTGAATAGATACTATATGTACAGTACTGAACCATCAACATACTTCTGCATCAGCTCTATGTCTTGTGTACCTGACTGCCTTATACAGACAAAACTGGAACAGTCTGTACCTTTTTCTTATACCTTGTCCTTAATTTCTGCTCCAATTCTTAAATTCTTCACACAGATGTTAGCAGCTCATTAGAGACAGTGACTTTCTCACAACTGAAAAGCTCCTAATAAATAGTGACGATATATTTGAATTTACTTCTGCTGAGTAAATTTGGAGCCAGAGAAAGATGTTAAATTTGGCTCTCTGTTCACAGTGCTTATTGACAATAGCATCTCTTCAACCATCCTGTCAAACTAAATAAAATGTTCAAATGAATTTCCATCAATCTAATATGGCTTTTTTATTTTATCTTGGCAAGAACAGCAGCACTGCATAACTTTCTTTGCTTTTGTGCAAATCCTGACATTCTTTTATGGAATTTTCAAAGCTGCCTGTTTTATTATCAGTGGCATATATTTTGTATTAAATAAAAAGTCTCCTTCAACTCAAGTGTGACTCCTACCAACTTCACAGACTGGACTGGGTAGTTTTCTTGGCAACAATCCAGATGTTGTTTGCTATTACTGTTTGCAGGATGTTTCTTTGACTTCCCAGTTTACAGATCTGGAAGTTTTTTTGGGGGAGGAGGAATGCCTCCCATCCAATATCACTAATCTATTCTAACTCTGTTTTATAATTTTATGAAGCTGGATGTTCAATCAACCATGTGAGCCTATAATCACATCAGAATAACGCTCATTTATATAAGATATGTACAAAATTATTTTCTGGAACTAAAAATGTTTGAAAATTGACAAGAATTTACATGTGCATGGCTGGGTTCAAGAAGTGGTTTCTATCTCTTTGAGGAAGAGTGTGTTGCTCCCACCTTTCTTGAACAAGATGGTGGTGGACACTGTCTTGAAGAACCAGCCATACTGGTGAAACTGCTATTCATAGAAGTGGACTATGTGGATATTTTTAGTCAGGTTTCAGGTCTGGACAAATGATTGAAACAACATTAATCTTCTATCAGGACCTAGATGGAAAGGGTGTGCCCCTCCTGGACCCATTAACAGGTTCAATATTACTGATTATGGTATCCCTCCAACCACCTGCATGGACTAGGGTTATTGTTATAAGGTAGCTCTACAGTATTTTGCTCCTGTCTGAATGGCTGGCTGTTGTAATGTGGAATGGGAAGAAGGAATAACTTTGAGAAACAGGAGGAAGAATTGCAACCAAGACAATAGTCAAATAAAAGAAATCTGAATCCTGGGCAGAAATGTAATTTGAAAAAGCGTCTCAGACATGATTCTCCCCCACTAGTTCTCAAGAAAATAAAGGGAAGGAGGGGTGAAGCACATTTAGACTTGCACGATATTGTTACTGTAGCTTTATAATAAAAAGTGGTATTAGTTGGCATGTCTTTGGTTATAAATTTGGTCTACCTTGGTCAGCTGGCATACTGGGAGAGCACTTAGAGCATCTGTGGTTGCTGCAAGGTCGAATATTCCAGAAGTTGGTGTTTTCTTCATTATTATTCAACATCTATATGAGGCTACTGGGAGAGGTAACTGATGATACTCAATTACACATTGCCAACACAGGCTCATCTAGAGAACAGGTAGATGACTTGGGACTCACATCTCCTGGCTGAATGGCAGTAGAAGATAATGGTTGCTGGACCTCTGTTTAGTTCTGGATAGCACGGTAGTTACAGCCTTACTTAGATCAGAATGTCTTGGTGATGGTAATTTATGCCCAGACCACTGCAACATGAGGTCTATGGCTGGAGTATCATTGGCAGACTATTCAATCAGACTGCAAGCATGGGAAACCTGAAATGTATGGATGCTCTTGAGGTAAGAGGGGAACACATGCTATCTTGGAAACAATTGGATAAGAGACACAGGAGCCCCCAGCAGTTTAACAGTCAGAGAAGGAAATTTAGGAAGGATCCCCCTTAATGAATCAAGCAATTAAAAATGGTTTAAGGGAAATTTCTACTTTCAGATTTGCAAGATTCTGTTAAAGTAGCTTTACAATAAAGTAGAATCAGTTCATCTAGTCATGTTTCCTGTTTAGTTTACTCCTGAAGACTACCATAAATCTTGCAAGTCTGAAATTACAAACTTCTTACCATCACTTTTAAAACTTGATCTATTAGAGCAGTGTTTCCCAAACTTGACAATTTTAAGGCATGTGGACTTCAACTCCCAGAATTCCACAGCCAGCGTTGCTGTCTCTCTCATCTGATTGTTTCCCAGGCAGCATCTCTCCCCCTTATTCTGCAATTACAAAATCTGAGACTGCAGAGGCCTATCTCAAGGCCTTTCACTGGGCTTCTGGACCCAAGGGGTAATCTTACTCAGCTTGATTCTGCTTGTGTTGACTAGACATTTTAAATGGGATTTTCTCAAGATCCCATCAGAAGTAAAAGAGGTATGGGCTGGAAGATAGGCTTTCTCTGTGGTGACACCCGCATAATGAAGCATACTACTTGATTGCTGTGCTGCTGCCTATATATGAATAATCTCCAAGATGTATCTGCCCTCTTCTTCTGTAATTTTGGAAAGCACTAAAATATACTTTTCAGCAGACTGTTGACTTCTAATGATGAACAATGGGCAACTGTTTAGATTTTTGACCAATATGTTTAGTGTTTTAAAAAGGGTAAGAGTAGTGTTATTAGTCTATGTTGGTGGTCTTTATTGGTGACTTAATACAACACCCAGACTTGGTTAACTAGGATAGTACAAAAATGTGGTTAATAAACAAAATGTAAGAGGTATTCCAGAGAAATTATTACTTTTATAAGTTTGCTAATGTTAATTTGATTGCCAATGGCTTATGAAAGCAAGACAGATAACTCATTATTAGTGTTCCTAGTTCTATTCATTCCTCTGGTAATTTAGTGCAAAAAAAAAAAAAGGACAGGAGATACAAAAATAAATAGTTGATAAAGTCTTGACCAGAAGGTTTACATTAAGCAGTAGAACAGAATTAGAGGAACAGGAGAAGAAACTGTTCTTAGAGGAGGGGAGGGGAAATATTAAGTTTAATTTTGTTCACTTTCTTATTTTTACAAACTTAAGTTTATTTTGTCTATTTTTGCACCAATTTGAAAAAAGAACCTGCTTAAATCATAAGCATTTATATACATTTTTCCTAAAAAGAACATGTACATATTATTTTAAGTTCAAAAAGGTGTCATTTTTAAGCATAACTACATTTCAGACTGTACAGTAATTTCAAAATGCTAATTACATTCATATTAAAATGGTAATTTCCCATCCCTTTTGATGACAGGCTAGATGTAACTGCATTCTGCTTAACACAGATGTGCAGAAGAAAGTATTATGTCATTCTAGAATGCAATTGAAGGATCTTTTAATATAAATAATATAAAATACAATATTTTAAATTTAAGTTCATTTTCAAAGAGAAAACAGACAGCCAAGACTGGATTGAACTATTATATTTTTAAAAGAGACATGCTTTGTTTTATTTTCTTTGAGACAGCACAGTATTTAAAGATCTGTTCCTCCAAATCCTCGGTCTAAATCAGATTAGACCAAAATAGGACTCCAGGATTCTATCGTTTTATGACTTGGCTGGAGACAGGATATTTCAAGTATGACGAGCAATAAAGCAGAAAGGCCAAAGTACAAGAGAAGCAAATAAAGATAATGTACTTTATGGAACAGGATATATTTCTAACATTTAAGGAGCCACAACATAGAATTGATTTTTTTCTGGCATATATTTTCACAATTTAAATTTTGCCTTATCAAATTAAATTTAAAACTGATTGGTCCACAGACAAATGCACTCAGATATAAATAACTTCTTTTCATCCTAGAGTAAGCAAAGTTACTAAAAATATTAAGACACATAGATACAAGAAATATCAGAAGATTAATTATGGGACTCCAAAGGATTGATTTAATTCTTTACTTTGTCTCACACAATAGATAGCTGTGGGTGGACTGTAAAGCAGCATATGAAGAAAGGAACCTCAGCTTTGCTCTAACACATGGAAACTTTGGCCCATATTCTTAATCTGTTCCAGAATGTTCTCCTATCTTCAAACCTTCATTTTCCCACTTTTCATTCACTCATGCAAGTTTAGATTTTTTTTAAAAAGATACCTATTGATAGTAATAAATAGTTATTTGTGTGTGAATGTAATTTCTGTAAAATTCCATAAAAGAGAAGGTGATTTCACACTGAAAAAGTTGTCATCCACTTCTTTAGAAAGTGGCTATAATGAATCGTACCATTATAAAAATGTTAACAAGTCCATTTTTGTTGAATTTAATAATGATGCCTGTGTCATACAAGTTTTGTTATAATCTAGAACTCATCTTACTTAATCTACTTCGTGGTAGATTAAAATGTACATCCAAAAATCCACAAATCACAAAAAATCCCCATCATACTAAGACTTTGAAAAAAGATGCCATTTGCAAAACATGAGAATTTTCCTATGCTTAATTGGCACACAAAGTGTGGAAAGAAAACAGCAGGACAGGGTCCAGATCCAACTAGCCACTGAGTTGGAGATTTCTCCACCTCTGCTGAA